AAATCTACTTCGAATATGCGACCCATTTCTTATAGTTGAAGACCTCATGACACAGGAGCTTAGCCCCATAAGTGCTGTAGATAAATTCAAGCGGCCGATAAAACCTGCAATGGACATGTTCCCAACGATGATATAAATAAAATATCGAATACTAAAACCATACCATATTGTATAGCAAATATCAAGCTACTCAAACGACTCTCTCCAATCCCTCAATGCAGAATTTGTCAATCTGTAACCGCACTAAAAATTACTGCGGCAGAGAGATGTGTGAAATGTGCAAAAAAGCACAAAAGCAAGAAATGCACCAAGCTTAAAGTGCTTCAATTGCACAGAATTCCACCCGGTCATTTATCGCGGCTGTATTGTAGCAAAAGAACTACAAAAATTGCAAAACATGAAAACTACAAAGCAGCTGACAGTTCAAGTCACAAGAACAACACCGAATCTTCATCCAGTAAGCCTGCTAATCTTCAAGAGAACACTGATTATAATTCAAAACCTAAAACATAAATTTCGAACAAACCCACATATTCGCAAATCATTAAAGCAAATGTGCCGCAATCGATTGAGCAGAATCTTCTCACTCAAATCCTAACAAAAATAAAATCTCAGGAAAAAATTTACTTAAGTCTTGACAAACGCCTAGAGAAATTGGAAGAAAAGGTATTTAAACAATACTCATGACCAGAAACCTAAAGATAATGCTATTGCATGCTAATGGCGTATTAAAACATTTTCGAGAGTTAGTTTCAAAATGCCTATTTACAGAGACACATCGGTTTTTTTCGCGTTAAAATCGCCACCCATGATAACTTGTTTTCTTTATCAATATAGTTGTACCTCCACTTCTACATAACTGGGCGAAAAATACTCAAGAAAAAGTGAATGCTTTCTGCAAGCAATGCTTTCTGCAATTTCCTTTGGGAATTAGCGATAGTAATGAATTGGACTTGGATAATGTTGGATCATCAATATCTAATGAGATTACCAGCATATCGGAAATAGAAGTGATTCAAACTATTAATACTGAACTAAAACTAAGGATCCAACCTGCATTATATGGAAAATGTCAGAAGTGACGTATTGTGACCACACACAATACGTTGTGTGCGATATTTAATGTGTCACACCAAACCGAAACACTCAAATATCAAGCATGACCGAAAAGCCCTAATTGTCAAATATGAAATAATTTATGAGTCAGAAATTTGACTCGTAGAATTTTGTCATTTCTTTATGACAAAATATTTGTATGCATATTTAATTGTTTCAATATGCATTTGACAATTTGGATTGCGGCATGCTCAGCACATGAATTTGTGTTAAGTGTTTCACAGATCATATTGCAAGCGATCGTGCATGCAATATGATTTGCCCTCAATACAGTTGGTTACCAGATGTGTGCCACTGTGAAATAGAAGATAACTAATAAATGTATATAAGCTACTTTTTGTAAAACATTATATACGTCTAATTTGGGTTAACTAATTAGACGATATTATTTTAAGTAAGGGATCGTGCACTGCGACCTAAAAGATCTATTGTGCCCCTTTGTCGGGTTAGAGTATTTCTCCAAGTCCGATTTCTTTAATGAGAGACAGTATGGATCCTATCTTCCCCAGTCTTGAATCCTTATGATCCATGAAATACCCTCCTAGGTGTTTCTTTCGTTTATGCATCAGTGCCGGGCACTCCCCAAGCACATGGTATGCCGTTTCTCTCTCTTCCCTGCAGTATCTGCAGTCTGAGTTGGATTGAATTCCTAACTTCGATAGGTGATTATTTAATCTGCAGTGACCGGTCAGTAATCCCGTAATAATTCTTATGTTAGTCTTTGATTGCACTATGCAAT